GAAACCTCCAGCACAACCAGGCTGGCATAAGCTTTGTCCAAAAGGAAAGTTTTAAGTCTACTCTGAATAGTAGAGCTGGTGTCAGTCCCCCAAATCCAAGCTGGGAACTGGTTCCACAGAAGAGGGATCTGAAAGCTGAAAGCCTCCCAATTTACTTTTTAATATCCTAAAAAACAGAAGAAAGACAGCAATCTGAGAGCGGAGTGCTCTATTGGGGTGATATGGGCGGTATGGAAAGATGGGCTCTGATTACTCAATATTATTTGCTATATAAGAACCAGTCCGTTTGCCATTTACATAATGTTTCAGAACAAGATATATGTTACATTACTGTGCTCAACATTAGGCCCTGTCCCACTTTGTCCCACTTTTTCAGAGATCATGTTTCAATCCTTCTGTTCACTCTTTAGCTGAAAAAAGTAAAGGAAAAGACAAATGTGATTTTTTTGTGATTTGTGTATATTCAATGTTGGGTCAGTGAACTATACGTTATAGAATAGAATTCTATAGGATAGAAAAGTGCTATATAAGAACCACTCCAAATGCAATGCAAGTGGTGTAAAGCACCCAGCTACTGGACTCTAGAGCAGTGGAGATGTGTTAGAGCGGTTTCTGCAAGGCAGGACTTTTCATCCGGGTCTAGTCTGACCTCACAAATGTTTAATAGAATAGCCAAAAATTCCCATGAATACAGGAAAACTTTGCCACAAGACTGGAAGCTGTTATAGTGGAAAAGGGTGTCATTAAAGTTACTTAATACTTTTAATAATATAGCGTAGAAGGGTTATTATTGTTATGAATATTCAGTGAATGCAAAATTGGGAAAATGCTTTGAATGGCATTTTGTCAACAGACTGAAGCAGGCGTGCTGGTATGAATAAATATTCTACTGTACCACCAATATGCAACCAAAAATGCACAAATTATATCACAGTTGTCAAATGCTTGACTTTGAGGTCAAGGCCACTAAAATGTGAACTTGTCTTGCTGATATTTCTGTGGTATCAATCTGAACATCATAGGTGTTCTTTCTAATGTTACTGGATTCACAGCATTTTCAAATGTTGGCTCAAACTGCAGCTCCATAACTCACCCGTCCAACCTGCAAGACAGCGGCAGACACCCGTAACTGGATCACAGCCATCGGAGTTAACGCAGTCACATTTCTCTCTGCAATCCAAGCCGTACGATCCATCCTAACAGCACCAAGACAAACATCAGAGAAAACACATTTTTTCTTTTATTAAGTAACTTAACTTAACATTAAAGAAGCAAAGTAGATGTCCGAGCTGATGAATAAAGAGAAAAAAATGAATGCTATGAGCACTCACAGGACAAGGTACGTCACAGTATTCATCCATCCAGCCTGGGGAGCAAGCACAGGTTCCACTGACGGGGTTGCAAGCTGCGCCATTGGCACACTGACACGTCTGATTGCAGCTCAGTCCCCAGGTTCCACTGGAGCAAGGGATGGAGCAGTCGACACCCTGCCAACCTGCTCAGACGACAGATCATTTTAGTTTGTAATGGAACTTTACTCTGCAATTAAGTATTATAAGTTTTATATTTCCGTATGTTTGACCTTGTGATTTTGATTTATTTTATGACTTTCCTTCTAACTCGGTGTAATTGTAGTTTATAAGAATGTGGATCCTATTTTCTCTACATTATCCATCTTTGCTGTATTTGTTATAATGACTAAATACATGTCAATACCTATTTTATAGCTGCAACAGTGTCCAAGAGGCACGAGCCGACAGACAGACATATTTACAGTTTAAACAGATTATCAAAAGTAGTTTATTTGGAGCTAAAAAAAAGTCCCTTTCCCCATCTTTGATAAGTGTTTCCAACAAACAGTTTGAGTAATCGTTTTTCTGTTTAACTTCATTTCCTCTTCCAAGTAAGTCTGTCTGGTTGTTGTTTGAGTTTTTCCTGCAGTGACAAAAGTCATAGAAATAAGCCAAGCTGCAGGACACAGGAGTTCATCGTTACTAAGGGCTGTACATTGAATTATCAGAGCGTATGTTAAACATATATCCTGATAATTCAACTGTTCAGTTCAGTAATAGTTTGGATTATTGTTTAAATGACTTTTAAAAATGTATTTATCTTTTTAAAGGCTTTGCTTAACTTGAATGTAAGTAATAAGAAATGTTTCTAATTTGTCATTCCCTTCCATCCTTCACCATTTCCTGGGCTTTTCACACTAAAAACACTGAGCATATTAAAGTACATCAAAGTAAATTACGTCATGGGTGACTAAAGAGAGAGAGTACGCGGGTTTCACAGGGTTCGTTCTTGTTCTAACCAAAGCTCTCAGGCCCTGGTCCTGTTTTCTGCTTCTTCAGATGTCTCTCTATTTTAATTACCTGTGGTCCCAACCACGTTCAGAGGTGTATAAATATTTAAACATGCTGATATTGAGAGATATTAAGCAAGCAGAAAAGAAGACCAGGTAAGGACTGGAGATTGTTACAGTTGATGTCTTCACATTTTTAGAGATGTAAGTTTCAATGGTGAAATTGGAGAAAATTTGGGGTTTCTGGTTTTCAAATGCAGGATCAATAAGAACAAACAAACAAACAAAAACAGGGCTAGGAGATCAAGGCTGGAACTTTTTAATATCAAATAGTTTGAAATTTTCTCAATTTTCTTTAAGAGGTTAGAAAAGTCCGAAAGTGTAGAAAAGATCTGTCAAAAAAAGCTGCAAATAATTTCACTGAGTTACTGTGAAATATAACAAAGAAAAAGCAGCAAATTCCCAAATTTGTTTAGTGATCTTGTGGAATTAGCTAAAAACTTTTGTATGTGTACTAGAAGCACAACTTGAATAAAGCAAGAGTTTGGAAACATTAAGTCAAGGCCATGTAACCTAACTTTTTAAAGGTTTTTATCACACTTGACCTCTTGAAATAAAAGCAAGCATTTTTATCTCCTGGTGATCACTGAAATTCAAGTTATACACCCTTCCCCACTCACTTCAGATAGGCCTGGTTTTCTTCAGATTCAAATAAATGCAACACCATCAACATTTAATTAATTTCAATAGTCAACAGAATATGTAGTACTTAAAATAGCAGTTTTTCAAGCTCTCGTCAACGATATGCTCTGCAGCTTCTCCACAGGAACATTCACATGTACATTTTTAGATTAGAAAGAAGTACCAGAGGCTCTGCTGAAAATGTTAGACATTCAGGGAAACACAACAAGTTACAGCGAAGATTGTGACTCCTTACAAAAACAATTTTGATAGTTGTTCCTCTTGTCCAATTCTAAAACATAATAATGAAGGAAATTTCAACACTCTGTCTTTAAGAACGTGCTTGTAAAGCACTACCTTCTCTGCAGATGCAGGAACCATCAGTGTGTGAGCAGGAGATCTCGTTTTGGCAGGAGCACGATGAGGAGCAGTTGATCCCGTACAGGCCTGCAAGACAGCTGATAGAGCAGTCGTCACCCTGGTCACACAAAAGGAGACAGGAAGGAACTGAAAAATAATGGTAAAGGTAAGATAAAAGGCCTGGAGTTGATTTGAGGTGAAGTGCTTGCATTTGGAAGATTTTGCTGTGAATGGACAACAGGTGGTCAAATCAGCTCTCCGTGAAGGTGAAACAACCAATGCTTAAGCTCACAAAGACAGAAAAAACCCATCGGAGAAGTTGCTACTATATTAGGGTTGGACTCAGCAATGCAAAAAGACCTGGACGTCCACAGGAAGACAGCTTTCCAGGATTCAAGGTTCAAGGTTCAAGGTTCTTTATTTGTCACATGCATAGTTATACAAGTATAACACACAGTGAAATGTAGCCTGACACGCTCCTCGACATGTGCAAAAAAAAATCGCAGATGATCGCAGAATTCTTTCTATTGCAAAGAGAAACCTCCTCACAACAGCCAACCAAGCGAACAGCTCTCTCCAGGAGGTAGACGTATCGATATCCAAGTCTATCATAAAGAGAAGACCGCATGAAAGTAAATACAGGGTGTTCACTGCAAGGTGCAAGCCACTCATCAGTCTCAAGAATAGACTGGCTAGACTTTGCTAAAAAAAAAAACACCCAAAAAAGCCAGCACAGATCTGGACAAACATTCTTTGGACAGATGAAACCAAGATCAACCTCTACGAGAATGATGGCAAGACAAAAGTATGAAGAAGGTGTGGAACAGCTCAGGATCCAAAGCACACCACATCATCGGTAAAACGCAGCGTCGGCAGTGTGACGGCTTGGGCATGCATGGCTGCCAGTGACACTGGGACACTCGTGTTTACTGATGATGTCACTCAGGACAGAAACAGACGAAT